GTGAGAGTGAGAGTGAGAGTGTGAGTGAGAGTGTGTGTGAGAGAGTGAGAGTGAGTGAGCGCGTGAGTGAGCGCGTGAGAGTGCGCGTGAGAGTGCGCGTGGGCGTGCGAGAGAGCGTGCGAGAGAGCGTGCGCGAGAGCGTGAGCGAGAGCGGGCTCGTGAGAGAGCGCGTGAGAGCGCGTGTGAGAGCGCGCGTGTGAGAGAACCTGGTGTACTAAAATAACAAGCTTAAAAAGTATGTATAAAAAACATATATATTTTTTATTTTTATTTAGTTAAATTTTATTTTTTAATTATCTATTTTATTTATTTGTTATAATCACGTCATTTAGTCATTTTAATCTATTTATCCAATTAGTTATATTTAATGTTTTATTATTTATTTTTATCTTGTTTGTATTTTTATTTTCCTATATAAACATATTTAAACAAATATTTTAGTCAATTATTTACATTTTTTTTTTATTTAGTTCTTTATTCATTTAGTTAGGATTTATTTTTATTTTATGTTTTTATTTGTTGGTTTTAATCAAGCTTTTATTGATTTAATGTATGTTTTTAATTTATTTAAAAAATGTTTTTAATTTGAATTGAATTATTCATTCAATTCATTCGATTTTTTTATTCTTTATGTATGTTAATCTTTTTTTTTTTTTTACTATATAACCATTTAAAAAACTAACAAAAATGACAAAAACAAACAACAAAATACTAAAACTTTTTAACTAAATTTTAAAATAAAAATTAAAACTGATGCAGTATTTCAAAGACATGATTACACTAAAATATCACATTAATAAAAAATAAAGCAGATACACAAAGTTTAGCAGCAGCAAAAACAGCCATTTATGTGTAATGGCCAGAGAAAAGCTGGAAAAATGGTAATGGATAAACTTTTAAAATTATTATAAGAAACTATATTATGTATATTTTAAGTTTTAAGTTTATTTTTTTTATATTTAAATAAAACTGCTGTTCTGAATCATCCAAAATATTTTTGTCTTCGATGGCAAAGTCCATTTGGACATGTCAGGCCAAACTTGCCAAATTTTCCACTCGATTATTTACAAGGCATTGGGAAATCCTGCTCCGAGTTCCTGTCCGGAAAATGGCAAGAATGAAGATATTGAGTGTCTGTAAGCAGCAGGCTTATACTAATAACTGCAGTTATGAAATCATCTGCACACTGTGTTTCTCAGTGCTACCGGTCTGGAGAGTGAACGTGCTCACGTGTCTCAGGAGCACGCTCCTTTATTAAGAGATGGCTGGTGAATCCGTGTGTTTCAGAGCGAGTGCGAGCAGCTGAATTACGCGCAGCAGCTGAAGGAGAGGCTGGAGGCCTTTACCCAGGACTTCCTTCCTCACATGAAGGAGGAAGAGGAGGTGAGACTGAGGTTACATTAGCGCACCAGCAGCTCTGTTATATTACTGTTCACAAAATACGTGTCTGAATTACATCAGATGTTATTAAAATTGGTCAGAGTTACTTTAAGGTGTACCATACAGTTCTGTAAGCTGAATCCCTGTTTATTTTATTTTATTTTATTTTATTTTATTTTTTGTTTTATTTGTTTTGATTTTCTTTTTTTTTTTTCTTTCATTATTTTGTTATTTTATTTTAAAGTATCTCCTGAGATTAAATTAATAATACTTTATAATACTTTATAGATGTACCACATGAATCTGTAAGCTGAATCCCTGTTTATTTTATTTTATTTATTATTTTATTTTAATAATATTTAATAATACTAATACTAATATTTAAAAATACTAATAATACTTTATAGATGTACCACATGATTCTGTAAGCTGAATCCTTGTTTATTTTATTTTATTTATTATTTTAATTTTAATAATACTAATACTAATATTTAAAAATAATAATAATACTTTGTAGGCATATCATACGATTCTGTAAGCTCATTCCCTGTGATTTAATTTAATTTTATTTTATTTTAAAGTCAATCAATTATTAATTAAACTTTCAGCAAAAATAATGAGCCTTTAAGTTTTGTTATAAATTTATTAGTCATGTTTGTATATAATACCAGAGAGAAGTGTTATATTTTGATTGTTTTTATTTTTATTTATTTCTAAAATATACACCAACCTTCCAAAGTTTGGGGTCTGCAAAATGTTTTACATTTTCTTTAAGTCTCTTCTCTGATCACCACGGCTGCATTTATTTGATCAAAAATACAGGAAAAAATTCTGAAATATTATTACAATTTAAACCACCTGTTTTCTATGTGAATATCTGTTAAAATGTAATTTATTTCTGTGATCAAAGCTGTATTTTCAGCATCATTACTCCAGTCTTCAGTGTCACATGATCTTCAGAAATCATTCTAATATGCTGATTTGCTGCTCAAGAAACATTTATTATTATTATCAATGTTGAAAACAGTTGTGCTGCACAATATTTTTGTGGGAACTGTGATACATTTTATTTTTCAGGATTCACAGATGAATAAAAAGTTCAAAAGAACAGCATTTATTTGAAATAGAACTATTTTGTTACATTATAAATGTCACGTATACTATATAATTTAATTGTGCAGTGGCCCCCTAGAAACCTCTGTTTACTGGATCTGGTCACTGCTGTAGCTAAAAGTGCATTCTCTAATGACACGTGGCTCCGGACTGCGATCAAATGTTTGTACAACCTTTTCAGAGAGAAATTGTATAGAAATTGTCATTGAGAAATTATCCAATTTAAATTTTTTTTTTTAATGGGATGACCAAAATATACTTTGTGGTAAACAAACACTTGTTTAAAATAAAATGTAAAAAAGACATCAAATTACCACTATAACCAGTAGATGGCAGCAGAGGAGCACTTACTGAGTATTAGTCATTCATTTCCACTTTTCTTTTTGCTTTATATTATGATATTATAAAATTACTATTATAAAATATCAAATCATCAAGAAATGAAATTTTGTCAAAGTTTTGCACTTTTCATGTGTATGACGTAAGAAAAGTCACAAAGTGCCTTGAGTAAAAAACACAAACAAACTTTTGTTCAATTTGTGACTGAATCACACAAAGTAAAAAGCTCTCCTTTTATAACCATATAATTCCGTATAATACTATAACAAGAATAATGGTACATTTAATGAGAGTAGAATATATATATTATAAAACGGAGAGTTCCGGTGCTTGATTCTGATTGGCTGAGCCGCGTTCGAAGCTGTTGTAAATTATTGTTAATAAAAGTAAATTTTGTATGCCTCCCAACTCAAGCTCAGTGCTTTACATTCAGTCAAATGTGCGTTACCAAGAAATAAGCGTGCAATATTATTAGTAACTGCACTTGTTAGTGCAAAACATTAGTGTTTTTATGATTAAGTTATCTTTCACTGCTCTTCTGTGTTAGACTGGAGCCCTGCAGTGGTGTGTGTTTCTGTCTGATGTTTGTGCGCGTGTCCTCAGGTGTATCAGCCCATGCTGATGGAGTACTTCACGTACGAGGAGCTGAAGGCCATCAAGCGGCAGGTGATGCTGCAGCACTGCAGTAATCTCTCGTGGAGCTCCGCCGCAGACCTGCTGAAGAGCCTGAACCTCTGGAGCCACGCCGAGGAGCTGCGCAAGGCCTTCAAATACTCCGACCACGAGAAGACCGAGGACGGTGAGTGAACCGCACAGACATCAGCCACAGAAAGGGAACCTCACACACCACCACATTAGCCCCAATGCTGGAAAAATAATTTTTTAAATCAATTCTCTAACCGATGGGAGCAGATAGTTTAAAGCCGCTGTAGAAAAGGTCATTCCAGGATGACACAAGTTTTCAATACTTGGAGAAGATCCCTTTATCCATTAAGCATGTTTTATTAGATTGTGCTGGTTTTAACTCTTTGAGAGAACTTTTTTTATTCCGTTAACTCTTTTGAAGAGATTTTTAACACCGCTAAGCCAAATACACAAACAAACAAACATCCACAAAAGGGTTTAGATTCTACAAATAAGGTAATTAAGTATAGCCATAAATATTAGTATATTGTGGTCTTACTGTATTATAATAATAATAATTGTAATAATAACAGTTATACTGTATATTTGTAAGTCGCTTTGGATAAAAGCGTCTGCAGAATGACTAAATGTAAATGTATGATAACAATATTTGTATTATTTATTAATAATAATAGTTATATTTTTCTATAGACTTGTAGTAATTTTTTGTAGTGTTTAGTATTTTTAATTTTATTTTTATAGTATTATTTCGTATTTTGTTGAATATTTTATTCAGTAAAAACAACAATAATAATTATAATAATAATAACTTATTATTATTAGAAGTAGTAGTAGTATTATACTATCAGTATGACTATTATTGTATAGTTATATTGATATATGATCAAAACGTTTTGGGCCCTTTTAAGCTTTACAAACTAATTTTGATCTCATTTATGTTTATTTACTAGTTTTAGATTATTTATTTAAATATATATTATATTTATAGAATATATTTATTAGTTATCTAATTTATATTGCATTTATTTTTATTTGTTTTTCAGTTGAATTATATTTAATACAAATAAATGCATGTTTCCAAAAGCAGTGATTAAATAAAATCATGATTTCAATATTGACAAGAATAGTCATAATTATGATAAATTTTTTTTTGTTTTGTCTTTTTTTTTCATATGATTTTCTAAGCCAAATACCTTTTTTATTTGTTTATTTATTTATTTTGTATTATTTATTTATAGTGTCCCCTGACATTCAATTAATAATCTAACCTTGCGACATAAATGAGCTGGCATTACATTTCATTGTGAATTTATTAATCATGTTTGTATAGTGTTTATTTATTTATTTATACACTCTACAATATTAATTAAAATATATATTATATCTATAAAATATATAATATTTATTATTATTTGATTTAGTTATCTAATTTCTGTTGCATTTATTTTTTTATTTGTTTTGCAGTTGAATTATATTTAAAGTTATCAAATAAATGCATGTTTCCAAAGCAATGATTAAATAAAATTGATTTCAATACTGACAAGAATAATCATAATTATGATTTTTACCATAATTGCGCAATAAAACTAGAAACATAATAAATAATACAAAAAATTTTCATACCACTTTGTTGCCCCCTTCTGAGTTTAAAAAAAGTTATTTTTAATTAAATATTATTTGATTAAAAAAAACAAACAGATTAAGTTTTTTTCCTTTAGAATATTGGAATTATTATAATAATGATATAATAATTTTTTTTTTTTTTCAGAAAACTTACAATAAAATTGTTTCCCCAAATCGTGCAGCCCTAATATCTACGGTCCTCAATGTGACATATTTCTGTGTGAATATATGTGACCCTGGAGCACAAAAGCAGTCTTAAGTCGCTGGGGTATATTTGTAGCAATAGCCAACAATACATTGTATGGGTCAAAATGATCCATTTTTCTTTTATGCCAAAAATCATTAGGATATTAAGTAAAGATCATGTTCCATGAAGATATTTAGTAAATTTCCTAAATATATCAAAACTTAATTTTTGATTAGTAATATGCATTGCTAAGAACTTAATTTGAACAACTTTAAAGATGATTTTCTCAATATTTAGATTTTTTTGCACCCTCAGATTCCAGATTTCAAATAGTTGTATCTCAGCCAAATATTGTCCGATCCTAACAAACCATACATCAATGGAAAGCTCATTTATTCAGCTTTCAGATGATGGACCCTTATGACTGGTTTTGGGTTTTGGAGTTTTAGTTGTTTAGTTGACTTTAGGCTGTGATGTTATTGATTGGATGCTTGATTTCCTCTCTCACATGCTCTGGGTTACGTCAGCTTGAGCGGAGGAGCCAGCCGCTGATTTCTCAATGTGTTTCCGCACTGAAGTAAATCTGAAGTTCCCCGCTCTGACTGTAGATCATGTGAGCTGGTGATGTGTAAGCTGTGCCGTGGCTTGTTTTCCTCAGAGCGGGGCAGCGGGCTCGCGTCGGTCTTGGTGCTGCCGCAGGAGCTGCTGCTGCGGATCTTCAGGTTTCTGGGGCCGGCGGATCTGTGCCGCTGCGGACAGGTGTGCAGCGTCTGGGCTCAGGTGGCCAAGACCGGATCCCTGTGGAGGCACCTGTACCCCGTCCGCTGGGCTAGAGGTGCGTTACATCTCTGTCTGCTTTATTATCACCAGTAAGTGCAGAGAAACCTGGGGTTATAAAAGAGCCACATCGAAACTGGCATGAAAGTTAAAAGTTAGGTCGACTTTATGATATTGTGAAAAAAACGTAGGAACTTGATTTGATCTATTGCTGTTCGCTGGATTGTGAAAAGTGAGAGTTGCGCACTGCACACTGAGAGCCGTTGTTCAACCAGAGTATTGCAACATATTTGATCTAATTATTTTAAGCTAATTTATTTATTATTGTATATATTTATTTAAATATATAAAAAACCTGTTAAAAAGACAAGTTTCTAAAAACAAATGCTTAATAGATGCATGATGCTTTTAAAGTCAGTGAGTCATTATATTAAATGATAAATATTATAAATATATTCAAATTAATATGTTTTTCTATATATATATATATATATATATATAAACTTTAAAATACATAATTAAATAAATTGTATTATATTTCTTACATTTTTAAATAGCTTTAAAAAAATTAATGTAGTTGTCATTTTTTAAGAACTTTAATTCTATGTTCTATAATGTTTTTTATGATTTATTATTTTTGTAGTATTCATTGTATATTCAACTATTTTATTTTATTATTATTATTATTTTATTTTATTTTTTGCATTATTATAGTATTAGATGATACGGCTTTAAATAAAATTTGTGATAAGTAATTGTGATCTCAGTATTTATCAAAATTATTATAATTATAATTATCATAATCAAGCAGCTCTACCACAGATGGATCATTCACATTAAGACCAGTAACTTAATAAAAAAACAAATAAACAGAACATAAATATTGTAAATTTCAATTTTGTGTCACTTTGTCACCCTCTTGTGACCGCACTTGATCAGTGGAGTTATTTAGAGGTTATTTTTAGGTTTCCAATAATTAAACAATGTGTCACAGTTGGTATTTTGGCTTTATATATGATCAGACACTTGCACTTAACATTTTCTGAAAATCATGCTCAAATGGAGTTAACAAGGTTTTTGACAAGTGAATGGCGGAGGTAAAGTTATGTGTTTTGTCGCATAACGTTTTCATCCATTTACAGGTTATGAAGTTTATTGTAGCTATATGGACGCTCAGTTTTTCTTGTTGTTTAATACATTTGGCCAAAATCTTGTGATATAAAAGATGAACCTCTATGCACAGGATATTTAAAACATACAAAAGTATATTGGCTACAACTAGATGGCAAACACTTCAAACACACAAAAACATTAGCCTTTCTAGACAGTTCTTGAGTAAAGGGTTTAAGGGTGGAGTTATGAGGTTTGACTGACAATTTGAGGATCCAATGGCGTTACGAGGTTTAGTCACAAGTGCTTTTGAATGCTTTTCATTGGTTAAATGTTTGTAAAACCCACAAACAGACATAACGATGACCAATAGCACTGATTTAAGCCCCATTCACACCAAGAACGATAACTATAAAGATATTAGCGTCCACACCAGCGGACGATATCGTCTGTTTATTCTAAGCGCACACGCGTCTGTCACTTTAAATTCTCGAGCTCGTTACAGCAGGATGGATTCTGATTGGCTGTCAATGTTTGTATTGTTCAAAAAATCGTTCTGAAAGTGATTCCAACGATATCGTTGCTCTGTGCCTTTATCGTTATAGCTGTAGTGTTATTCTTTAATATTGAGAACGATTTTTAGAACTATATCTTTATTGTTGTCTTTATAGTTATCGTCATTGGTGTGAACGGAACTTTTTAGAGTAAGGAAGTTATTACCTTTTTATTAAAAAAATATTTTTTCCAATTCCGTAATATGGACCAATGAATTAAAACCATTTAAAAATTATTTTCATAATTAATTCTAAAACTTAAATTAATTATTTGTATTTATTTATTTATAATTCGTTTTGATTCATTATAAATCTTCTATTAAAAACAGTAGTAAACAGTAGTAGTACAATTATTTAAACAATTATTATTATTTAAAAAAAAAAAATTTTACTTGTATAATTACTTATAAAAGCTTAATTAAAAGACTGCATTTTTGTCACATTTACATTTAGTCATTTAGCAGATGCTTTTATCCAAAGCGACTTACAAATGCGGACAATTGAAGCAATCAAAACCAACAAAAGAGCAACAATATACAGGTTCTATAACAAGTCTCAGTTAGCTTAACGCAGCACACCTAGCAAGTTTTTTTTTATTAAATAATAAAGAAAAAGAAAACCGATAGAATAGAAAAAGAATAGAGCAAGCTAGTGTTAGAGGCCTTTTTTGCTTTTGTTAATTGTATAATAAATAAAAAGAAAACAAATAGAACACAAAAAGTTTAGAGAAGCTAGTGTTTTTTTTTTAAAGAAAACAAGCAGTTTGTAAATGAATAGAGTGCAAGTCTAAAAGGGGCACTTTTTTTTTTTTTTAAACAATAGAATTAGAATAGAGAGTGCTAGAGTTAGAGGGTCAAATAAAGGTCACATGAGTTATTTTACATTTTTAATCTAGTTAAATCAATTAAAGATTAAATTGAGTACGTTGCATTGTGGGATACAGTATCCCAGACAGTGTGATCTGATGAGTTAACCGTGTGTAGGGGACTATTACTGCGGTCCCCCGGGCGAGTCGGACCAGGAGCCGGATGAGGATTGGGTGAAGAGTCTGCAGGACGAGGGACGAGCCTATCAGGAGTGGGACGAGGACGCAGATGTGGATGAATCAGGTGAGCCTCGCCTCGCCTTGCCGCGCCGCTCAGAGCTGCCTTTCCCATGATCCTCCAGGCCGCAGCTCAGCCGTGTGTTACTCTGTGTGTTCAGAGGCGGCGGCGGAGGAGTCTCCAGACATTAGTGCGGTTCAGAGAGAGAAGAGGCTGCTGAATGGGATCGTCCAGAACCTGCTGCCCGCCGTCGGTCCGTCTGTGCGCTCGCTCAGTCTGGCCTACAGCTCGGCCGTCTCCAGCAAGATGGTGTGTACGTCTGCAGTGATTGTATGATGGTGAAACATGTGACCCTGGAGCACAAAAGCAGTCTTAAGTCGCTGGGGTATATTTGTAGCAATAGCCAACAATACATTGTATGGGTCAAAATTATCAATTTTTCTTTTATGCCAAAAATCATTAGGATATTAAGTAAAGATCATGTTCCATGAAGATATTTGGTAAATTTCCTACCGTAAATATATCAAAACTTAATTTTTGATTAGTAATATGCATTGCTAAGAACTTCATTTGGACAACTTTAAAGATGATTTTCTCAATATTTAGATTTTTTTGCACCCTCAGATTCCAGATTGTCAAATAGTTGTATCTCAGCCAAATATTGTGCTATCCTAACAAACCATACATCAATGAAAGCTTATTTATTCAGCTTTCATGTGATGTATATATCTCAATTTTGAAAAATTGACACTTAAGACTGGTTTTGTGCTCCAGGATCACACATTATTTCCGTGATTTTTACTTCCTTCGAAAGTAGACATGACTAATATGTGTACAGAAAACATTTAAGATTTATGTGTGGGGTTGTTTTTGGGCCTAAAGTCCTTTTCACACTGAGCAAACAATAGATCCCTAATGGGGCTATTCACACCAGGCGCGATCATTGGCGGTGCGAAAAAGCGATTTTTTTTTTGTCCTGTGTCGATTTTTCTCCCCGTCGCTCCGCGATGAAACGGGCCGTCCAATCAGATTTGAGCTTAGATCACGCCTATCTGCCGATTATTTACAAGCACTCGATGATGGTTTAAAGTGGGTTTTAAGCAAAAACATAAATAATGACATACGTTTTCAAATGTGGCTTGATGCTAATTGTACCTCTAATTATATTTTACAACCCTCTACGCACACCTTGGCAATATAATCGCCATTGGCTAGTAAATTTTTTTGTTAACTTGCCAGACTGATATACTATTTTACACACACACACGCACAAACACGTTTACTTAGCTATCTAAATGGGGACATTACTTAGACTTCTATTGTTTTTATATACAGATAGTTATACTCTTTTTAACCTAAACCCACCCCTACCTCTACCCCTCACAGAAAAGGTTCTGCATTTTTACAATTTCAAAAGTAAAA